AGAACTTTAGATGAAACCGGAAAAGACATGTCCATCTTGCACCTAATATAATGTTAGCTAGAATGAAATACAAGAAGTTCTAGAATATAGTGTCCCTATTAAAATATATATGCTATATAATCAATTTTATAAACTATATATACTCTTTTTTTTTTTTGTTACAAAAGACTTGACATTATTCTATTTTACAATTTATATTCCATTGGGTAATACATTTACTCCACACATAATTCTTTATAAAAGGAAAATACACAAATAATGACAATTATCATCACAATCTCACGAAAAGATGCACACTTAATTAACCATTCTGCATTTCTTACGAACCTCACCAGTCCGACCCGTTAAAACGCCAATCCGACCCATATTCACCATAGAGACTCCAAAGTCCTTAAAGAAAGTAGACCCATAACTTTTGGTTTGCTTAAGAACATAAGACTTAGTTTCTTGGTTGTCTAAAAGAGCTGCATCAGATTGAAACAAGCCTCTTCTTTGAGACACAAGCTTGAAGTAGCTTGCATCAAATGTTTTGAAGCTTCCTGGATCCATTTCTAGAGCCGTCGTGGTATCCGTAGGCTTGCATTTTTTTCTTAGACTAGCTGCGTATTCAGTGTCTAAGTTCGGATCACTGTCTCTTTTCCCGGTGAAATTGTAGAGCCGGTTTGTGATTTGAGGACAATGTCCGATTCCAATCGTATGTCCACCTGTCAAAATATAAATATATAAAAAAGTTAGAGAGTGATTTTTTGTTTTTTATGACTAGGAATTCGAGACTGAAACCAAGACATCTCTTGAACTTCTGAAAAAACATGATATTTCTGATCTTGTAAAACGTCCACACTGACTAACCATGTTTGGAAAAAAAAAACTTGAGAATGAGATCATAAATCTTTGGTTATAACTCATACTTGAAAGTACCTGAAAGTACGACGAGGTCTTTCTTGCCGAGGCCTTTGGAACGAAATTGGGTGATAAGGCTAGTGATATTATCAAATGGTGATGGTAAGTTCGATGTGACCTCATTGATGTTTGTAACCCGACCGTCTCTTCTTCCCGTTTCAACTCCCCACGATGGTACATTGAGCTGAAAATAAATGGTTTCACATGTAGCAATTTATTGAGATAATACCAAGTTCTATTAGGATAATGATCTATAGCTTCCTAGTTTATTTATAAGTTAGGTTTATCTAATTCCGATTCCTAGCTGGTTAAGGATTTACATTCTTGTATAAATACCGTTCTATGAACATCAATACAAACAAGCTTTACGACAATATTTCAAAACTTTTTGGATTATATTTTCTTTAAGATCGGTGAAAATATAATCGGAATCTAAACTAATCTCTTAGGATTGTAGTCTTAGGAGATGGATTATATTTGACCAAAAAAAAAGAGATGAATTATATAGGGTTAATTTGGTGAATACAAAAAAAAATTATAACTGAGAAACTAACCAAAAATATTTATGTGGCAAAATTACAGCCATTAAATCTAGGGGAATTGGTTAATTTATTAGTTATAGTTTTTTTTGTTGGTTATATAACATAATTTCCCAATTATATATCATTAATAAATTTGTGTATACAAACTTATATAGAGTCTATTATGGCCATGTGATTTTCGTAATAGAATTAACGAGAGCGTGTAAGAAAGATCTCGTGAACTAGATCTAATAATAGATCACTAGCTATCACTTGATACTAAAAATGTATACTTACTGCAACCATTGCGTCTCTAGCGACAAGTGCCAAGACATCAGAGCAAGAAACAATCCCTGGACACTCCTTTTCTAGAGCTGCCTTGGCATTGTCTATGATCTCAAACCCTCGAAGGCTAAGGTTAGGCACTGCGTTCTTCTCGTCTTTTTTGTTCTTTAGCTCTAGCAAGACCGACCCTTCGCATCCCTAAACATCATGATTCAATCATTAGATCGATAAAGTACCGAAACAGACGAATTGGAAATTAGGGCTGTCAAGAAAAATATATTACTCGAACAAAACAGTCGTGGAAGAACATTCTGAGCAAAGGAGCTCCAAGTGTTGGATCCTTCTTCATCGCATCGAAGACAGACTTCTTGACAATAAGCTCGGCTTTAGGGCATGACTTGTCGTAGAACCCGACTTTCAATCCTTGCACATTGGTTGGAGCAAAGGAAGAGAGCAATGAAAATAATATTTGAAGGAAGAAGAACCAAGAGATACTCATCTTCAACGTAGCCATATTGTTATCAGCTATTCTTTCGATGAATTATTGATGATACTAATTGAGAGTAAGATTGGTACGGTGTTTATATATACTAACATAATCTTATATATGTAAATATAATTTCACGAAAGTTGGAAATACTATATAGTTTTACGTTAAATCATTGTAACCTATTATAAGAGCTCGTGGTTACAACATTGACTTTTAAAAGACCAAGATGTGGTCGACTATAATAGGTGCGTAGGATTTTTTTTTGTAATTTTATTGAGTTATCAATAATTATTTTGTGGAATATATCTAGTTTTCATTTGTTTATGGTTTATTGCCTTATAGGTGTGGTTGATGTATATTACTATCGCCACCAGACAAAAAGGCTGCCAAGTAATTTTAAACAAGAAGAAAAAAAAAGATCACAAACATTGAGTTTTTGAAATTTGGCAACTTTCGGAATATTCGTCAATTAGATGTTATAATAATTAAAAAATTGCTTGATAGATAACAATAGTAATTTGTTGATAACTAACATGAAATTGACATGCAAACCACAAGAAAAAACTATAATATATTTCGTAAAAATTAAAATGCAACACGAGCCGTCCATAAAATTGTTTATTTTACACGTAGACAATGGCTCATGGCTGGTAGGTAGAGGAGAATTAAAAAATGAACAGTTTTGCTTGTGAAATTGAACTTCTCTAAACTGACCAAGTGACAATGATACGGTAGGAGAAAATAATACAGCTTAACATTTTTCACGTCTTAGATGCGTCAAACATGATAATCA